TTGTTCTGCATTTTGCATTTAACACATTTTACGGACAAAACTGCCAAACACCAACAAGTTATGCAGGTCATCTAAAATAAGTCTAAAATACTTATTTTCCCTCTCACATTTACTTAAACAATGTAGTTGTTTTGGGGCCTATACTAATTTACACACTTTAGACGCATTTAAGCGTATGATGTATTTTTTTTAACAATAACCACATTTTGTGATTTAGACAAGATATTTCCACATCAATGTAAATGTGCAGGCTATCAACAAGTAATGATTCACATTACAGCATATGTAGTTTTACGAAGATATTGCAGCACTACATTTCCAATAGTCAAAAGAAAACAAACACGAGATTACTACTTTAAAAATGAATGAAATTTTATTTGGGAAAATGTGAATAAGATGAAAATTGAGCAGGAATAGTTCAGTTACAAAATGTGTCTTGTTAGTTGCAGGTATTAGTTTGGCAGTAATTACGATGTTAAACTATACCTATATACCAAATAAAACAGTTACTGGATATTAAATAATTGCATTTTATATAATGTAAAGCAATATTTGGGTTAGGGTTAAATATAAAATATAGATCATATGTTGAAACAAGTTGTGAAAATAATAAAATTCAAATGTATAAAGATATTAAAAATAGATAGACAAAGATGAACAAAATATGCAGTATTTGTGTTATTGATCCACTGAGTTGATTCACGATGGCCGAATATTTATGAAATAAGTTCCTATTACTATTACTGGTGGTTCCCGGTTCCTCCCTGCTTAACCCTCCGTTAAACCCGTTTATTATTTACACTGCCGTTATCACTTGTATGGGCCTATATCTCGCCATCATCACCACCCTCAACAAATTAACTCTGATGACTGGGAGCAGCCAGTGCCTCGGTGTAACGTTACACTTAAATAGAGCTAAAAATATGTGTAATGTGGTGCTTGTGGTTTTCTCCTTTTAAAATCAAATGGTGCGAGCAGTGGTGGTGAACACCAGGAGACAACAGCACATTTAAAATGCATGTTGTAAATATTGAGCTTGTAAAATTTAACAGACAAATTCAATTAATGTTATTAAACAATGAGCAAATTGCGCACTAGAGGCGTTAACATAAAAAAACAAATCTAGCTTTATATTTGTTGGAGTTCTTAATAGTTTAGCTGATAATAAATGGATTACAGATTGAAATAATATAAAATTAACAATATACTGAGATTGTTTTTATTTTAGAGAAAATGCATTCTTAACTTCATCTTAATGTGGATATTCCCAAAAGGGTTTAACTGTGTGCGTATTATTATCCACATTATCCTAAACCTTTCCCAAAATCGCAGATCACGTCTACAGAGCAAAACCTTGAGTTCTCGCATATTACGCTGCATTTTTATTTAATTATTACCATCAAAATAAACGGAGAGCTGGGCCAACACCCCACAAGGCCACAGGCAATTCTCATGCAGGAATTGTTTCCACTCTGTTCTTACTATTTAAAAGACGAAAAAATACGCACAAGCTGTCCATAATGTGCATACTGGTTGCAAGCTATCACCTCTGTGGTACTTGCACTTTATTTGGCAAACAGACATCAAACAACCCGAGGGGGGGGG